AGGAATCATTTGGATCATTAGTCATGCATTGCCTTTGCTTTTCATCTGCAGGTTGGCTTACTGGTTTAGATGCTGTTAGAAGCTGTGCGACTGCTTCCAGATCACATACCCTCCTAAGACAGTGTAGAAATCTTAAATTTTGAAGCTTACAAATTCTGAAAGCTGAAATTTTGGAGTAAATAAAATGGTGTTGCAGAAGATAATCTGCTCCAGCTGTCTGGTTATTGTTTTCCCCCACAGTGCTAGAAGATTTCAGAGGATCTGTGGGAAATTGTATCCTGAGAATTTGGTTACTAACCAAAGCACCCTGTGGGGGAGATGAAGCTGAAGTGACTTCTGGCATGTCAGTTCCATTGCTACCATCTGTGTTTCTAAAAATTAGCAACAAAAATACATTCCATTGGGTGCAGAGTCAAGAAATTTGAACTTCAGTCCTCAGATCACAAAGGTGTGAGTCGAAACAGCTTCCTTAGTAAATCTGTTTGGTTTTTTGTTAGGATCTTGTCTCTTTGGTTGTGAAGGAAGAATCTCAGAAATGTGATTCAGGCCTCTGTTTCCCAGTTCCCGTTCCTCATCCTGTGATCCTGGAGATTGGCTGCGGCTCTGGAGCGATTGCTCTAAGTCTCTTGTGCAAACTGCCACAGGTGAGCTTTCTTCAGTGCTCCTGGTATTGTGTTAGAGGACAATCCTCTTCTGCTTGTTTTCATTGGGATGTCATAAACTTTTTTGATGGGACTTGTGCTGCCCAGGGAAGTGGTAGAGTCACCATCCCTGGAGATGCTTAAGGAGAAACTGGATGTGACACTTAGTGCCATGGTCTAGTTGGCATGGTGGTGTTAGGTCACAGGTTGGACTTGATGATCTCAGAGGTCTTTTTCCAACCTGACTGACTTGGGCAGCTCAGGTCTCTGACAGGCTCTGTAAGTTCATACTAGGTAGAGGAGGGATATTTGGGAACTGCTCTCCCCAGCTGTCTGCAGGAGTAGCAGAGACATAATCAAAATGAAGGAAGCAAATGTGCTCATTCTTCAGCTGTCAGAGCTCACTATAAATCATCTTAGGTTGAAGCACTGGTGGGTGTTGGTTTAAGCCAATCACCTGGGCTGAGGACAAGAGGGACTGAGCCATGGGCACACACTCTATTAGTCAAATTTATGGGCAGTCATCTCTAATAGTCACCTTGCTGTGAATCAAAAGATCTTGTCTCTAGAAGACTGAAGACTATCTGAATACAGAGAAGGGATTACCACAGCAATGTCAGTACTTCAGATCAATATGACAAAGATACATCACTGCCACAACTGCCAAACCACCTATTTGAAGTCGTCTGTTCCTTAGTACCAACCTGCAGCTTCTAAACAGAGCGAAAAGAGCAGGAAGGGCACTGAGATCTGGGTGACCAGTGTCCTTGCCCCTGATTCTTGTAACATGCTTACTGAGCATACTTGGTAAAGAAAATGAGAAATGAATTCAAGATGTCATTGCATGTGGTTAAGGGAAAAGTATTCCCCTTTCCTCAGAACTGCAGACCAGCCAGTTCCTTCTCATGAAAAAGAATTCCTGTGGCCAGCCCCTCCTTTTATAGAAGTGTAAGCCTTGCTGTGTAAGAATTAGAGGTTGATGCCTGTAATGGGAAGGGTGTTCCTCCTCCCAGTGACCTGAAAAGGTTAATGCCTGAGCTTCATGACTTCAGAGTATAATTGCTCTGATTTCCAGAGCTAGAAGAGCTTCATGCTCTTTTCCTTGCTTGTTAAGTTAAAGGGCTGTGTCAGTCTGTCCCTGTAACAGATAACAGTCATTCCCCAGCACAAACTGCTGTGCCCAGAGAAGTAAGGAGCCTTGACTGATTAGAATTAGTGGTAGCCACACTGACAGCTAAGTGAAGTTCACACTCTGTGTAATCTCTTTAGTGTTTGAGACAGCACTAGGGTACTGAGAAAACAACAGCAACTTTTCATTTATGGGCTCAGCTGTGTCCTTCACCTTAAGGATCAGCTTCCTGTGTGTGGGTTTGTGAAATTCATCCCTCCTAGGAGCAATGGCTAATCACACCATCATCTCCAAATGCAAAGGAGTTTCTTCAAACATGTTCTCTATGGAACCCCTACCAACATCTGTGCTTAAGAAACATTTAGATAAGCAAAACCAAGTCAGGCCTTTGCCTGTGGTTTTCCCAAGGTGGAATGGAAGATTAAACAAATCTCTAGCTGTGTAGCCCTGTCTGTCTCTGAACATTACGCTGAAGAACTCTCAAATACTTGACCCACAGTCAAGTACCTGCAGTCAATACACACAATGAATGTGGTGTAAGGACTGCAACAGAGTAGCTAGGCCAGAGGTGTCTGCATAGCAGATGGAAAATGCTAGCACCTCTGCCCAAGTGGTTGTGTTAATACTGGGAGGGATTCTGTTCACATTAGAGAGGAGAAGCCTACAACATGATCTTCCTTCAGCCTGAGTCTACCCCAGGCTAGCCATAGGAGCTATGAGTGTATCAGGTAATGTGAGTCAGTGTGGCTCTGTTGTCAGCTCCCTTGGTTTGGACAGAAGCCTGTCTGTTTGCTGGGCTGCTGGCAGTGTTGCAGAGTGCCTTCAGTCACATTACTAGATGCGACTCGTGATCCCAGCAGTGCCCTAGATGCATTCTTCATGAGCTGTTCCTTTCAGGAGCCAAGAGTGAGTAGTCAGTTGTCAGTTTTGATCTTGCATGTTTGGCAGAGCTTATCTTCTTGGGAACCTTGATGTTGTAACATGTGCTTGGTGGGGTTTATTGTTTTTTTCTGTCCCAGAGCTGGGTCATAGCCATGGATAAAGCGGAGACTGCAGTGGATCTCACCAGGGAGAATGCACATAGGTACAAGACCACATATTACTCATTTTTTGTAAATTGTTGTTTGAGAAAGACCAAGAGTTCTCAATATTTGTACATATGCTTCATGTTTACCATCACTGGGAACCAGAGAATGTTTAGTTGGTTAAGCTCTTAAAATGTGTAACAATTCAGAAAAAAAATGCTTATGCCTACTAGAGTATTTTTTCTTTGACTTGTGAGCATGCTTTGCAAAGACAGTAGCCTAAATAAAGCAATAGTACTTATACACTGTTTGGCTTCAAGGGGTTTCAAAGTGTTTCATGGTAACTGCTCTTATCCCCTCTTGTGAACTCATGAAGCTCAGGGCAGCAGTAGGAATGTATATGTCACTTAGGAGGTTAAGGACAGGTGTAGCCTGAACCTTTCTCTGGGTCCCTGGATCATTATTGCTGTGCTTGTTTCTCTCTTTGCTCCTCTAAAACAAGCTTGCACACTCAAGTAGCACTTTTCCTCTGATATGCTAGTGTGGTGTCCCTCAGCATCCTCACTGCAGTCTTGGCTCCATGAAAATGGTGCTGCTGAGCCCTGTGCTGTTCACATGACACCTGTGTTGTGCTGCATGGTCAGAGCTGCTGAATCCAACACCTGTGCCTGAAGTCAGGACAGATATCTGTCAGGCTGACCTTGTCCTTCCTAATGTCTCTGCTTCCTCCGCTGGTTCTTCTGTCAGGTTGGCCTGGCCTGTCACTACCTCAGCAAGCCCCAAGGCCAGAATCCCGGTATACTTCTGAGTCCTGGATCCCAGGCTCTGTAAGACACTATGAAAGGTACAGAGCTCCAGTAACTGCTGGGCCCTAGGCATTTATTAGAGCCCTCTCAGAAAGGATTCCAATTGCTACTTCTCATGGAGTCCAGTACAGCTGTGGGTCTCTAGTGATGCTCATTAACTGGCATTTCTGCCCCCAGGGCCCATATCCCCTTTGTCCTAAGCTGCTGCCAGCGCTGGGGCTACAGACAGAGGCTTATGCTGCTTCTGGCTGCACTGAGCTGCATCTCTTCACTCATTCAACCCAGCCCCAGCGAGTCTGAAGAGATGCATAGGAGCAAGTTCTTCCCAAATTTACCACCTCACTATTACTCTTTGCCTCGTAGCCCAATTACAGAGAATGGGGAGCAGAAGTTTCCGTCTGATACATCAGTGTCAAACCAAATTCTGTTGCAATTTTTCATAGATATAATCAATGCTGGCCAGATCTTTGCCTCTTGGTAGCTCTGGCATCTGGGAAAAATCATCTTGCTTCTTAACATTGTTTGTTGGCTCAAGAGTGGATGAGGAAGTGTATATGTCATGCCAGAGAACCTCATATTTCTCCATGGATATTTTCATTGCATCCTTCTGATCTTGTCTGTGGCGTGGTGCCCTGTAGCTCTTGGGAGAGAAGCCAGCAGGATAAGTTGTGCTACTGCTTGACTGAGGACAGCTTGGTGTCTCTCTGCTTTTCAGAGCTCCCTTAACCCAGCTGTGTTCCCTAGATACTTAGATGAGTCTTACTCTCACTAAATCAATTCTGGTGCCAGATGGCCCCTCTGGGCACACAGCAGGAACCCCTCCCTTCCTTGATGTCTGCGTATGCTGACAGGGCACGACTGTAGGCCCTCAGCAAAGGCAGGAAGGACTTGGGTATAAGGCCTTGGTCACAGCTTGCTCTGTGAACCCTGATGGGTAGCCCTGAGGTGTTACATTGAAGAGCTGTAAGGAAAACTCTGCCACTGTGGTGGGAGCAGAGAACATGCTGGGAAGAACTGGGCAAATGTATTTTCTCTGGACATTGACTGTGCTGGGCACAGGAGTTAGGCAACTGTGGCAGAGCATCTGCATGATGTGCTGTTGCGGGTCTGAGAATGGCTTCTCCTGTGGGAGGCTTGGAGTCTTGCTCCTACAGTAGATCCTCACCAGCCTTGTTTTTCTGACTTTGCAAAGTGCTTCCTCTACCATTGCTCAAATGTATTCACAAAAGCCAGAGGCAGAACTGGTGAGAGGAGAGGTATTTTGATGTGTGGACCACATCAGCTGAGGAGTTAGAGGTTCTGTTCCTTCCTTGCTTTTTCACTCTCCCTGTTTCTGTAACTTCTGCTGTAGAATCAGACTCCCACCAAGCCCAAGGCTACTTTCAGTCTGACCTCTCTTTCCTGTCCCAGGAGCATCAAGGGAGCTTTGCTCAGGATTCCTAAGATTTAAGGGGATCACTGTCTCAACGCTTTTCCCCTGGCAGGGAGTATATACAGTGGCAAACTGGGAGCTAGGGATGGATAGGGATGAATCATGGCAGGTTGTGGCAGACTGAAGCACTGTAAGCACCATGCAGTGTCGGTCTGGCAGTCTCAAGGTGGTTCTACCTGGAACTAGTGTAGTGAGTCAGAGAGATCAGAATCTTGGCCAAGATTTCTCCCTGAGAAATGCCAAGGTCTTTATAGACCTGTTTTTTAAAAACAGTAAGCCGGCACACAAGACTTGCTCACCTGTCACAGGTAAAGGAGAGATGGTTGTGTCTTCTAGTGCCCTCAGGAGTTCTACTGGTCTGAGCCCTCAGGAGATATCTGGCTGCACGTGGAAGGCACCAACCATAACACGTGTTTCCCAATTAATGTACGCAGAGACATCAGGGCAAGAAAGATCATGAGTTAGAAACTAGTATCTGAGAGATTCTAATGTGTATTTTAAATATATTATACTGTACAGTCTGTGCATGAGCTGTCCATAGAGGAGTCCTTTTTCCTAGCTCTGTGTCTGGCCAAGGAGTTCTGCTTCACTGCATGCACTGGCCTCCTGGTAGTGGGCAGTCACATCTCATCATCTTAACATTGGCATGAGAGATGAGGTCCAAGTATGCCTAGAGAATACACTGAGATCCCAGAATACTGTTAAGATTTGGATTATCAAGGAGGCTGGAGAAAGAATGTGGCAAATGTGAGCATGTTGTCTCCACTTACAATAGCAGGTTTATGTATTTGAAGCAGGTGATTTGTTTGTGGGGGGGTTTATGAGGGTTTTTTTTGTTGTGGGTTTTTTTTCTGGGTTGGGGTGTGGGTTTTTTTTTCAGAGCTAGTGGGGTTATGTGGGGAGGCCCTGGAGATGTAGTTAATATGCAGCAGGGTGGGAAAGTACTGCTGTGTGTATGGCAAGAGAGGAATACATACAGGGATTGGGTGCAGTGTGCCCTTTGCTTTGAATTTTGTTCCTCAGGCAAAGAGCAGATCCTAAACAGCTTGTGAAGAATCCAGCTGCAGGCAGTGGGGTAGGATATATGTCTATCAGTTAAGAAGTGCAATATTTAATGATTTGTTTGTAGAACGTACTGTTCATGAATCCACACAAACATGCCTCCTAATCTTTTCTTCTTTCTGTTCTTGCATCTGGAATTTTACAGGCTGCAACTCCAGGAGAGGATTCACGTCATCCACCAAGATATTTTACACAGTAACTCTCTTCACTGTTATAATCCCCTTTTTACCTTGATGGGAGGAGGCAGGTATGGGAGACAGACAAGGGACTTCTCTGGGATGCCGGTGGCAGAAGGGTGTTGAAGTTACAGAAAAGGGACAGTAAGAAGTGAGCCAGTGAAGCTTTTCCCTTCACTGATTTCCAGGCCATATCATCAGCTGAGAGAAGTTCCTGACTACATGAGAAGATGAAGTGTTCCTGGTTTTAGGTGTCCAAAGGTTGTGTCTGAGCTGGTAGACCAGGTGCTCTTTACTGTTACTGGGGAGAGGCCGCTATATACAGAGTGTAATTCATTCCATGCTGACATGGATGCTTTAGATAAACATGTACATGCCTGTCTTCTCCGTTGATGTTAGAGGGAGCCCAGATATTTAGCTCAGATTAATGCCCAGCCTTATTCATCTGAAATTAGGTGGGTTGAACCAGGGAAGGTTACTTGGCTTCCCTGGACCTGGCTGAAACCAGTTCAAGCTGCCATTTGGTGAGTCTTATCCAGCTGGGTCTCTACATGCTGCACTATTTGTTAGTCAGGAACTGTGGAGCCAAGAGCTCCAGCACTGTACGTGCATTAGCACATCCTTCCAACGCTTGTTTTTGACACTGTGCTGCCTCTAGGGGTATATCTGCGCAGTCTTTTGTCTGCACATCTGAGCTTGTGCTGTCTGTGCTCCAAAGAGCAGTGCCAGCCAGCTCCAAGCCAAGAGCCCTGTACCTGGGCTGCCATTGCCCCATGCCAGGAGCCTGGTCTGAGGACAGTGCCACACTCAGTGGTTACACAATGTGTGATCAGGCCTGACATGTGTCAGTCTGGAGAGTAGCAGAGCATAGTGAGCTGAGCCTTCTCTGCAGAACAGTAAACAAGTATGTTCTGCAGCACAACAAATGTTGTGCAGAACTGCAGAACAGCTGTTTGATGTTGCTGACCAGGCCTGGCTCTGCAGCTCCTTGGAGGTCCTTCTGCAGCTCTGGTAACAGGAAGGATGTTCCTCTGGACAGCTAGTCTGAGCTCCCACGTTCTGTGAGCTCCTAAGTTCTTATTGTTGCTTTAGATCCAGATGGGCACAGAGCTCCAGGGCATCAAGCTCCCATGCTTTATAACACATTCTGCTAAGCAGGCTCTCAATATGACAAAATGGTGCTTAGTCTGTCCTTAGCTTTGTATCACAGTTGCATTCATTGTGGGAGAGGGAGCAGGGCAGGCTACCCGAAAAAGAAATAAGATAACATTTTATTTTCAAAAAGCAGATGCAAACAGGCATGGGCATGTGCCTGAAGACAGTTTCCTGGGTAGGATGTTGACAGTGAGTTGATAGGGAAGATGCTACAGTTGAAAGCTGGTTGTGATTCTATTTCTTTTCTAGGTTCTGCCAAACAGCTGCTGCTCTGGGGTCCCATAGACATCATAGTCAGTAACCCCCCCTATGTTTTCCATGAAGACATGGCTTCCTTGGATGCAGAAATCCTCCGGTAATCAGACAAATAGCTTTTTCCTCTCCTGTTCCTTGGAGCAAGGTTTTCTGTCTGCTTCCTTGTACTACACACAAACCATGCAAATGTAGTATACATGTACGAAGTGTAGGTGTGTTTATATAGTATGTGATCATGCAGTGTTACTTTGATACTGCTTAAGGCCTGAAGCAGTAGCAAAACATTTGAAATACTTACTAAAATGGTTAAAGCATACTTTGAAATCAACAAGTTCCCAATCCAAAACTGTTTCAGAACACTTTTCCTGTTAGACTTTTTTTTGGGGGGTAATTGGTATGAGTTTATGAAAGAAAGAATAATCTGAGTAGCTTTTTGTGATGGGGAAAAAGCTTGGGTGGAAATGCTGCTGCCCATTCTCACCCCAGTAACTTGTCTTAGGCAGAAAAAAATGAAAGGTGCACCTTTCTCCATGGAGTTTGGGGTGTGGATTCTCAAGGGCCACTGGAATTGCTGTTAAGTGTCATCTTCTTTCCATACTCCAGCTATGAGGACCTTGATGCACTGGATGGGGGAGATGATGGGATGAGAGTCATCAAAACAGTTCTGGCTTTGGCTTCTTCTCTTCTGAAAGATTCTGGGTAAGCACTGTTCTCTGTTTGAATTTCATGTCCTCTGTCCATTCACTTCTATAACTTCTGCTTTCTTTTCATACCAGAAGATACAGAGGAAGAACAGTTGTTAAATTGTCACCCCCTCAGACCATTTAATAACAGTTCAGATGTCATGTGTATTAGCAAAATTAGCTTGAAATTGGTTAAGAAAGAGACTCAAGCCTTCCTTGAGCAGTGGTGGTGTTTCACGGTCATTAGTGAAGTGAGAATCTTTAAAGGTCAAAGCAGCAACAGAAAGAACATGGACGACAGCAGCAGAGGGAGTGCAAAAAGCAGGGAAGCTTTCTAAGGTGAATAACTGATTGAAGGGCAAGCAATGTAGAACTCTGTGTGGATGGATGTAGATATCTACTTCCCTCTCACCCTTTAATTAGGGGAAACTTGTTTATTGTGCTAGTATACAATGCTTAAGAAAGAAGATCAGCCAGGGACAGTTTCTTAAAATGTTAAACTTCTTCATGACTAATATTCAAGACTGATTGTTCCTATTCTCTGTCATGTGGGATCCATTTTGAAGATCAACATGCTGATACCCAGAAGTCTAAATGTACTGTTTGTGTGCCAGGGCATTCACATATCCTGTTGAATATTCCTGACATTTGGCCACCATAAGAGAGGTTGTTGAAAATCTGCTGTTTAGAGCAGAAGAATCGGAGTATTGAGAGGCATGCAGAATGTATTCCTCATGCTTTGCATGACCACAAGGACAGAAGATGCTCCTCAGAACTTCCCAGCAATAGAGACTGATCCCATGGGACTGTTTGTTAGGATTATTTCTTTTCCTTCCTTTTTTGCTGGTTTTAGAAGGTGAAGTCCCCACTGAGGAGTGGAGGTTTTTTAAGGTCAGAAGTAAGATCCCCACTCAGCCTGTACTTAGCTTGGTGAATGTGTAGGGAGTAATCAGTGTGGGATGTTTTAGGAATTCTCAGCAGAGTGTATGACTGGGGCTCAGTCTCTGTCCTTTGCCTGTTAAACTTGTATCTTGCTGTGCTGCCCCAGGCCATAACCAGCTCCATTGCTCCACATGCCTGTGAGCTGGGGTGGGGAGTGGAGATGGGAAATGGGCCAGTGCTGTACAGCCTGCCAGAGATGGAAATAGTCCTGCAGTGTCCAGGCCTGGTCCTGGTGCCCTAACTGAAGCTGTCTGATTAGTTCCCTTATCCTTACTGCACTATCCTTTGTACAGCCCTGTGTGTAGGCCTGAATGCTGGTGGTGTTTTCATAACTGGTTTGTGGAGACATTTACTGTGAGGAAATTGTACTTACTGGTACTCATGACTTGCTGCTTATACACATAGGAACTTCATGCTGCCAGGCCAGTGGTCAGTGTTCCTGCATCCAGCATAAAACTGCATTCTGGCCTTAAATCACTGGGGGCTTCAGAAGGATATTGCTGGTGGTATCTCTGCTTGGGATGGTTCAAAAGGGCTCCTTACATAGCAATACAGGGGTTTAACTGCTTATACAGAGGAGTACCGTGAGAATTCCCCCCGGATTGACAATTTCTTCCCCAAAGGTGGCAGTTGGGATCTGCATCTTAAATGGACAGCTGTGATCTGGTTTTAGGATTACTGAATGCATTATGTTTACTGACCTTTTCATTTCCTGCAGTGGTCAGACTCATCTAAAAAGACCTTGGTTTTTACCAGTTTAGCCACCTAACTGTGTGCATTTCCCCACTTTCTACTCCCAAATGTGTCTTTTCAGGAGTGTGTTTCTGGAAGTTGATCCCAGACACCCGAATATGGTGGAGCACTGGCTACAGGCACACCCCAACTTAGTACTCACCCTTCATGCCATTCACAAGGATTTCTGTGGCAAGTAAGTCTTTTACCTTCAGATTTTGCTTTGGGTATGGGTCTGTGTTCTTTGTAGAATATGTCCCTGCCTCTGATGTATTGAATGAACTCAGCCAGAGAAACTCCACAGCTGGAGCCAGTCTTTGACAAAATAGGGGCTACCTTGTAGTATCTCAGCCTTCTGATATGCTGAGACAGCCTGGCAAGTGTTTCTGAGTCAGAAAGCTGACACAGGTAAGTGTTTCTGATGAGGTGACTGGCTCTGGTGGGATTATTGACATTGGAAAATTGCTGTTCTTGTAGGATGGAGGTAGAGGCACGTTCTCCCTACTGAGACTTAAACCTCTGGTCATTCTTTTTCCCACAGGCCTAGGTTTCTGCACATCCAGAAACAAAGGTGACACCTGTACCAGAAATAACTCCTCTTGCAGGATGCTTTTTATTCTTGAGCCTGGCTGAACAACTTGGTGAAAACTCCTTTTGCACAGCGAGAGAAATCTCCACTTCATTCCCCAGTGCGTTGGACTCTCCATGTAGTGACAGAGCCCCCTCATGTCCTGATACAGACTTCACCCAGAGCTGCAGAAGTTCAGCTGTGCATGTGGAAGTATTTCACCTTCCTCAGGGAACTGCGTGGAATTCTTTTGATTTTCTCTGCTAAAGTGACATATTAATCTAAGGACTGAAGATAGAAGTCCACGACTCCAGATATTTCATTAAAATACAACTTCTCCCTGTGCCAGATCACAGATCCCCCATCTGACCTAGAAAGAATTTAACTTTTGGGTTTTTGGCCCTGAGACACATTTGTACAGAATGTGACCAGATCCAAACTCTGGCTTATATTGGCACGTGGACTTGCAGATGTAACAGGGCATGACTGACCTGCACATTTCAAATTCAGTTCTATGCTAGGATCATGATGTTCCAACAGCAAAGCAGCCTTTGTTTCTCAGTCCTGCTGAGTGACATGTCATTTAAATCTAATTTAAATTTAAGTCCACATGAATCTGCAGCCCATGACACTTGGTGAATGCTACCAGAAGCAATCAAAACATTGTAATAAAGATAGTGCTTCAGAGCAGTTACCTTACAGGAATTGCTCTGCAATTATTCAGACATGCCAGCAGACCTGAATAAACACCTGACACCCACACATCACTCTGATAGTAATAGAAATGCCCAACTTTCATGTGAGGCATTTAATTGCAAGACTTTGCAATTAAAGGCAGAGTCACTACTCCAGTTTTGCAGATGGAGAAGTTGACAACAAGCTAAGTTTGGAGTAGGACCCAGTCTCTTGGCAGCCATGGGAATAGCTGAAGTCTGTCTCTTTGGGAAGGATGACTCAGAGTAGGGCTGCCTGGAACAGCACTGAGAGAAGTCCCTGACATGGGTAGTCAATATTGTGACATTATAAATCATGGTAGGACTACATTCAAACTGATACTTGCTGTTGCTGCTGTTCCCAGTGTTACAAGTTGCCATCCTGACCATAGCTAGCCAGGGAACAAAGGAAAGTAGCCAAAGGGGAGGATCTGGTCTGCCAGAAGCAGTTGCTGGGCCAGTGGAGATCAGCACTCAGGAGGCATGGAGGTGTCCAGACAGTGACCCTTGCAGTCTGTATGTGCCAGGGATGTGCTGTCAGGCTCTGTCCAGGCTGAACTGGGACTGCACAGCCGGAAATATTAGGCAGAAGATGCATCAGCAAACTGAGTCTGTTGGAAGGCTGCAGCAGATTCAGAGGGTGTTGCATAAGCACTAATAAATATATGTAGGCCCTTTCCCCTCTGCCTCTCGCACACTCTCACTCCCCGAATGAGTCTTTCATTTGCCCCTTAACTCCTGAACATTGGTCCTGCTTTCCCACAGGCACCTGAGCTTCTCTGACATACCAGCAGTCAGGTCTCCATCTGGATCCTTTTCCCACCCACTGGGCAGTTCCAGTTCTGTTCAGACTGGCCTTTCACCCCATTGTACCTCTCACACTGCATTTATCCACCCCAGTAATTGATCACATCCTCTACACTCATTGCTTGAATTTGTGAGTCCTCTCTGGCTTGTAGTACCTGCCCTGGTTATATAGGGAAGAAGAGAACTAAAAAGTTCAGTTAAAGTGACCTTCAGGCTAGGTTTGGAATTAAAGTTCCAGCACAGCTGATTTCTGGCAGTTTTGCCTGCTAGAACTATGAGTACAAACTGTAGTCAAAGAAGTGGTGTTTTGTTTGGTTGTGGATTTTTTTCTAGTAGTCATTTAAGGTTGGGGTTTTTTTAGTTCAGTTTATCAGACTTTGTTTAAAAATTGTATTTAGAGAATTGGGTTCACAGATTTCATCTGGGTGTTAGCAATGTTTGTGTACGAATCAGAGCAACATGCACAGCCTGTTTCTGCAGGATGCCTTAAAAACTGGATTATGGGAATGTTAAATGGCATCATGCTGCATTCCTCAAGGGGTGGGCTGGTTCCCTGCAGCAGGCTGGAGTTAGCTGACCCTCCAAGTGTACCAGTAGCTGGGCTGTGGAAGGCAGTGTGCTTTTTCTTGGAAGCATCAATCACTTGTCCAAGCTCTGAGCAGGACAAATCCCCAGTGAAACAGATGGTCTAATCCAGTAGCACAAGTGTTAAATTCCTATATTTATAGCTAAAACAATAATAGAAATGCTTACATTTCCATGGATTTGCATTGCATAGTGGTTATATATCTTGGAAAATCACATGGTGCTGCTGACCTTTTCATAAAGACAAGAATGGAGAAAAATTGCTGTTCCTCCCCAGAGGATGGATGTTCCTGTCAGACTTGCATCCGAGAGAATGTGCTGCTGTAGTACAGTGTGTTCCTCAGTGCTTTACACATCGGTCCCGGCTCATTTTGGTACAGAAGCACTGCAGAGCTCTTTGGAGATGGAGGTTTAAGGAACCACAGGCACTCCCAGTGCCCTTGCAGAGCTCTGGGCTGTGTCTGTGTTGCCTGTGAGCAGGAGGCTGAGCCGATGGCAGCAGCACACAGCACGTGAGCTCTGCAGAAGCAGAGCTGCTCCCTGAAGCCACAGGAGGCTGATGCTTCACTTGGCATTTTATGTAATCCACTATCTGACATACATTGAATTTTCTGGGAATTTACTGGGTCTTTGGAACTGTGGTTTGTTTCCTGAGGTGATGCTGTCAGAGAGGGACTTTTTTTTTTTTCCTTCAGGACCCTGAGGAGCATGGTTGTGTGTGTGCTCACATCTCTGTTTTGGGGGTTACCAGGTGTGTGGAATCTACTGGGGTAGCACTGACCTTCCCCAAGGAGAAGTTGGGAAAGGCTCACGCTTTGGCAGAGCCCTGCAGATGGAGCTGCCGTCTCAGTTTAGCTGTGTCCGTGCTGGAGAGGCTCCTGCCTCAGCCTTCCTGCTGCATGGGGAGGTCCCTGTAAGCATTCTGAAGTGCAAGTACCACCTGTTTTCAGTCTCCCACCCAAGTTATGGGTTGAAAGGGACTTTTGTAGGGGCCTTAGAGAGGCAAAGAAGTGTATTTATTCTCACAGTGCTCTCTGCTGAGTCTGTGGTTTTATAGGGATGAGACTCCTTTCCATGTGAGGAACTGACGGATACAGAGTGACTCCACTAGGGTGACAGAGGACATTTCTGTGGATTACTGGCCAGCACTCAGTTCCTCGATGTAGAGCCATAGATCAAAATGGCTTGGAAGAGAGCTTGACAGCCATCTAGACCAATTTCCCCATCCAAGTAAGCCTCGACGTGCCTTACATCATTCCTGACAAATGTTTGCCCAGCCTGATCTAAAAGGCTCCCAGTGCTAATAGGGACTTTTGCATGCAATCTGTCCTGGTGCTTTGTTGGTCTGTCTGCTAGAAAGTCATCCTCTGTAATGGCAGCTTTGCTGCAATTAAAGCTGAGCACTTCTCCCATCCTGAGGTGGAGAGCAGCTGACTCCTTAGAGCACCTTCCATGCAGTAATCTGTTCCTGTGCTTTCTCAGAGTCTTAATTTCTGAGGGCAAGAACTCCAATACTGTGTTGTTTCTGTAGGCCTTGCACACCCTTCCTGCTTCCCTCCCTGCTTGTGAGGCGTAAGAGAACCTCTTGCGAGGTGCTGCAGACACAGTGCAGGTGATACTTGTGCATCTGCTGAGTGGAATAATAAAGCTGCTAGAGCACATCGTGTTACAGAGGAGGAGTCACTTCCCAAGCAATGAAGACCAAGACAAAATTTGCACTGACATTTTGTTTGGGCAAGTTATCAAAAACTGTATTTAAGTTTTAATGAACTACTACTTCCACTCCAGGTTACATCCAGAGGGACAAATACACAGTGAGAGAAGGCTTCTCTCTCACAGTCAAGAAGATAATGAGATACCAAGAGAGATTTAATCCGGTTTCCAGGCTATTTCCTTTTCCATAGATGTTCTGATATGCTTTAAGTGTCAGAATGTTTCAGATGTTCCTTCTGTGGAGAGCATGTCACTGTCACTCTCTGTTTGTTTTGCCTGGAAGCAGCATGGCCACCCAGTCTGGGGTGAATGCAAGAGGCTATTTATGTGCTACCATCCTGCAGCCCCGGATCATGGTCAAAGTAGGCCCTGCATGCAGCTGTTGCCATTGGGACAGGTAGCAGAACCTACTGTAGCCTTAAGGATGTTCTAAAATGTGCCCTCACTGCAGAATCAGACCTGTACCCAGCTTTCTCCTGCTTTGCAATCACCTGTCTGATTGTGCCAGACAGGTTTAGGCTGACATGCCTGGGGATCAGTCTGCATCTGAACTGTTCCCATGGTTTATCCTCCAGCCTGGAGTAGCCTTTTGTGAGCGTGCCTGCAAGCAGGAGAGGCTGTCCTGCAGGATAGTGACTTGTACAATCTGGACTCTTCAGGCTCACCTGTCACTGCCATGGTGCATCTGGCAGAACAGCCTCTGAGAGTAGAATAAAAGTGCAAGTTGTTTGCCAAATTGCCTGCTCATCTTCCTTGGGGATTTTGGTCACCTCCTGAGATGGTATATAAGGGTGATGTTACCTGCTACGTGGAAGGAGTGAAGCAGATCAAGGAATGTGGTGGTAGTAAAAGGTATGATCATGCTGACCACACTGAGCTGAACACCACAATGGCTTTCCTTCTGGGCTGGATCCTGAGATCAGGCCTTTAGGGAGTATGGTACATGCAGATCCACTGTAAATTTTGCAAAATATTTCAAGGGATTTTCTCTTAAGCAAGCTGCTTTAGATTTTTTTTCTCTCATCTGAGGAAAGAAATCCACATGCCTGTGGATTTCACTGTGGGGACAGAGTGGGTAGGGATGGCAAAGAAAGGGGAACCAGTTTGCATTAGCTCCTGTCCACAGGCAAGGCTGTGCCCAAAAACAGGTGTGACCTGCACTCTTCTCCATCTGCTATTACTAGGTCAG